TTTATTTTATTTTATTTTTATTTTTTTTTTTTTTTTTTTTTTTTTTTGTGTGTGTGTGTGTGTGTGAGAGAGAGAGAGAGAGAGAGAGAGAGACCGAGACCAATGTAACTCTACTTACAAGGCTAAATTTTTGAAATAACATATCAAATTATGGCAGGATTTTATGGTGCAGACAAAAAAATCACTAAAGTTTCAGTAAAGTTACCTTTCGATCATAATTCAATGTAAATAATGTGCATTAAATATGCCCATAGCCATTTTTCAAGAAAAATTAGAATATATGGCTTAGAGCCCAGGAGAAATGTCAGATACAAAAATATAGCACAAGGAGATAAATCTAATTAAATCTTTAGGAAAAAAAGCAATATATTCAAGTTAATGTATGATTTTTTTGCTAGCTATTAAGTCTTAGATTGCTTCTGCTCTTTTCTACCTATCTTGGTATTTTCCCATTTGTGAGGATGGTGACTCCTCCTAAGGGAAGAGTCCCAGGGGACAGCTCCTCTGGGATAGTATGCTGGAGCACCACCCACAGCACAGCCCAGGAAGAAAGTGAATGACAGTTGGGTGAAGCCTGGTTCTTCCCTGAAGGCAATACTGCCTCACCATCCCGCAAGTCAAGCTCATGGACTCTCGCCTAACATGCAAGGGTGTGGAAAGGTGACGAGGATAAGCTGGCAGGGCATGACCCTTGATGCTGACTCCAGACCCCCACACCCTCCCCCTCTTGTCAAAACATCCCCTTTTTAGAGATGCATGCCTTCTTGTCCTTGTCTTGACTGTGGAAGACCACCCCCAACTCATGGAGACAGGTCCTAGATGGGTCTTCCAAAGACAAACCTTGGACCCGGCCACCATCCTGAAATCCTCATCTCTAGCCGCCACCGTCCACCTAAGCACAGCTCTGCATGCTGACTTTAAGTCCCATCACGGCCACATTTATAACTTTCACTCCTCTACTTTCTTATTCAGCTTCTTCCTCTTTGGGTGATGATTTCAACTGCCCTTCTGAATCCCCCGTACCCTACCCTTTGGACACACCACCCAGCAGAAAACCAACCCAGTCTGAATCTAATCATCCGCCCCTCTAAACTGATCAGCCGCACCAGAGCGCATAGACCCCATGGTCCCCAGCGCGCCCCAGGCCCCACACTGCCTCCTGCACTCACTCTCCACTCCACAATGACAATTTCCAACTTTCCCCATGGTCCTCAGAACTTCAGCGTCCCCTTGACCCCTCTCATCAGAAAAAAAAAAAAAAGAAAGAAACAATATATTTTTTAACCAGCAGATAGGGACTCCCTTGAGACTCACCAACCCACATGCTCTCATTGACAGTGGCGATGTCTCTCTTGCCCAAGGATCTCTCCTTTTCATTCAGGTCTATCTCATCAGAATTTAAACGTCCTTCATCATCTCCCACATCAATGCCTTTCGCAGTTACCACCCCATTCTCACTCCTCCTTCAGCACCCAACTTCTTTACACAACTGTCCCTTCTGAAGTACATGCAGATAAACCAGAGGGTTGCTAAGATTTGTGAGTGGGGAGATGACGGGGGTGGGATGGGGATAAAGTCGTGTTGTGATGGGTCTTGGGAGAGTTCACCACTTTTATAGTATAGCCATGCATTGCTTAAACACGGGGACATGACCTCAGTAATACAGCATTTCACAAGTTCCTTGTGGGAACACCAGAGTGCACTCACCCAAGTCTAGATGGTACCACCTATTGCATACCTGGCCGTGTGGTATATACACATGGAATAGCCTATTGCTCCAAGGGCCATGATGAGCAAAACACCATCAGTGTCAATCAAGCACAAGAGAAAATGGTGCATTCAAGAGACATGGTAACAGGCTAAGGATGTGGCTCAGTGTAAGGAGTGCTTGCCTAGTATGCATGAGGCCCTGGGTCTGATTCCCAGCATGGAGGGTGGGGGGGAAACAGTAAACATGAAACATCTGAGGCTACTGCCAATGCAACACAGCACACTGTTTAACAGTCAACTTCGTTTTTTATATATAAATAGGAGTGCACTTTAAAATAATAAAAAATAATATAGTAAATACATAAACCAGTAATGTAGTTGTTTATTGTCAAATATTTTGTATATAACTGAACGTGCTATACAGTCATATGATTGGCAATAAGTTTGTTTCCATCTGCACCACCACAAACATGAGTGTGTGGCATGCCATCCCACTGTAACAACCACAACATCACCAAGCAGTAGGGATTTTCCAGCTCCACTACAATCTACTACCACTGTCATATCTGTAGCCCACTGTTGACCTAAACAATAGGTAGGACATGTAGTCAAGCAGGACATGGCTGAACAGATACAGGTAAAATAGTGCCCCCCCATAAATGATAAATACATTGCTTTCCATGACAAAGGAAAATTTAGATGGTATTAATGCGCTAATCATCCAACCTTAAAAAGGTAGAATGCCCAAGACAATCCAGGTGGGCTCAGTGTGATCACAACTGTCCTTCAAGGTGGGAAGCCAAGCAGAACAGATCAGTGATATAAAGTGTGAGGGCTCAATTTGCCTTTGCAAGCTTTGGAGATGGAGGAAGGGCCAGAGACAAGGAAGGCAGACAGCTCCTAGAAGAGGTGAGAAAAACAGTCTCCACTAGAGGCTCCAGGGAGAGTGCCGCCCTGCACCCCCTTTCTCTAGCCCACTGAGATCCATTTTGGATTTCTGACCTCCAGAACTATAAGATAGTACATGTGTACTGTTTAAACCACTAAGATCAAGTAATTGGCTACAGTAGCATAGGGAATTAATATGGCAAGTTTGAGTTTTAAAATCTTCTGTAAGACTTGTCTCTATGTCCTCACCTTCAGATTTCCCTCCAAAGACCCCCTTCTCAATTCTACCCCCATTTCATCCCTGATGAGCTCCAAAGGTTGCAGATTCCAACAGGGCACTTTTATATGGCTGGCTCCACCCTAGGACAGTCTGAGGCCCTTTTTCCTTTTGTGCCTCTCTCTCCAGGGCCCAGGCAGTTACTACATACATGAATTCAAACAGCAACTGCACACCACCATTTCCAACTCTCTCTGCATCCTGAAAACTTCATGCTGAGCTCCAGAATGGACAAATACAGGCATTCCCATGTGCCCATAAGGCCTCAACATCCTTCTACCCAACCTGGATTTCTCCTCCTTCTGGTGTTTTCCCACCTAGTAAATGACAGCACTTTCTTCCTCTTGGCTCGTGCCAGAAACCACAGGATCACACTGGGCATAGCTTGCTGCACTCTACACCCCCATCATAGTGCCCAGTGGTTCAATCTACACCAGCTGGACCAAGCTGCCAGGTTCTCTCATCTGAATTACAACCCCTCCTACAAAGCCTCCAATCTCCACCTTACTCATCTCTAACCCCACTATCAAAACTGTGGCAAAAGTGCTCTTTTTAATTGCACATCTGCTTTGGAGTCCTCCAGCGACTTACACTGCAGTCACCAACCTCATCTTGCCACTCATTCTCTGGTATACTTAGGGGGATTTGTTTGTTTGTTCTTGTCCCCCACACCCACACTGGGAATTGAACTCAGGGATGCTCTACCACTGAGCTATATCTCCAGCTCTTTTTTTTAGTTCTTATTTTGAGATGGTGTCTCGCCAAGTTACTGGGGCTAGGCTTGAACTTGCCATCCTCCTGCCTCTGACTCCAAGTTGCTGGGATCACAGGCATGAGCCATCACACACACCCCCCGCCCGCCCCCATATCCACTATCGAGTCCAGTGGCTGCCTTTCAGTTCCTGGATACCTCTAGTTCCTTCCCACATATTACCTAAGTGCCCTTCCCCTGCCTGAATCCTACCATCCTGCAAAATCCTACCAATCTGGTTTGAAGACCAGCTCCTCAGGGAATTCTTCCCAGACCACCCCTACATTGTCAGTCCCTCTGATGCAAACAGAGCAATGATGCTTTCCTCAGACATCCACATCCCATCCCCAGGACCTAGGACAATCCTGCCTTATGTGGCAAGAGGGACTTTACAGATATGATTAAGGATCTTGAGATGGAAATGTTACCCTGGATTTTCCGGTTGGGCCCAGCATGAACCCAAGTACCCTCGTAGGAAGAAGGTAGGAGGAGATGAGGAGTCAGTGAGAAGAGGTAACTGTGGAATCAGAGGTCAGACAGAGACTGAAGATGTTACACTGCTGGCCTCAGAGATGGAAGAAGAGGCCATGAGCCAAGGAATGCAAGCGGCCAGTAGAAACCGGAAAAGAGAAGGAAGCAGATTCTCCCTAGAGCCATCCTGGGAAGATGCATGACCCAGCCATGTCTGATTTTACAACTTCTGACCTCCAGAAATCTAAGATAACCAAGTTGTGTCTTTTTAAGCTACTAAGTTTATGTAATTAATAGAAAATTAATCATCTCCTCCCCAATCTCTACTCACTCTTCAAAGCATCCTATGTGACTACCTTACACATTCCAGTTGTTATTTGTATAATTATTAACATCTGCCCTGTCCTCTAAGCTATACCTCAAAAAAGCAAAGACCGTCTCTGACCTGCCCAATACTGCATTCCCAGCGGCAAGCACATAGTAGGCCCACAATAAGAGCAGATGAGCTGTTGGATGAACACACCGGTGGGGATGGTTGAGGCTAAGCAGCTACCATGAGCATGACAACTTGGACATAGGTGTGTGTGCTCTCCCTCTGCACCATTCCATGAGGCATCAGTGGTATGAATATGACTGATACTGACATTTGGAATCAAACTCTTACCTTACTTGCTAGTATTTTTCTTTGGTAAATTAAACCTTTTTACATTTTTAACATATTGAGAAGTTAAATGTAAATGTCTTCATGATAAGATGACTGGATGGGGAATGTCTCAAGAGATGATGATGGTGGTCAGGCTTAAAGAGTAATTAGGCAGTATCCATTAGTTTTAACTGACCATGGCCACTTCCTTTCGAGCTCTCCCGCCATCTTGATGGCTGCTCTCGGTTGGGGGCGGGAAGATGGTGGCCGCAAAAAAGATGAAAAAGTCTCTGGAGTCAATCAACTCTCGGCTCCAGCTTGTTATGAAAAGTGGAAAGTATGTACTGGGGTACAAGCAAACTCTGAAGATGATCAGACAGGGCAAAGCGAAATTGGTCATCCTCGCCAACATCTGTCCAGCTTTGAGGTTATCTGACATAGAGTACTATGCCATGTTGGCCAAAACTAGTGTCCATCACTACAGTGGCAATAATATTGAATTGGGCACAGCATGTGGAAAATACTACAGAGTGTGCACACTATCTATCATTGATCCAGGTGATTCTGATATCATTAGAAGCATGCCAGAACAGACTGGTGAAAAGTAAAACATGTAAATTTTTTCTTTAATAAAACTTGGCAGAGCGTGTTTTAAAAACACTGCATTCACTTTGGTTAAAAAAATAAATACATAAATGACCATGTCCTTCAACTCTTCAATTCTACTTCTATTTATTCTGCATATACACTCACAGAGGTGGGAAGAGACACAGACTGTAACAAAGACCCAAATAATGTAAGGGTGGCTTCAATGAGACAGGTATCTGTCTCTTTCATGCAAATGTTTAAGAGAATGTGGTGCCGGGGACCTGGGTTCCTCTTATCTTGTTGCTCTGACATCCTCCGGAGTCAGCTTCTAGCTTTGGAACCAAGAAGGCTGCTCCAACCTCTACCACCAGATGACCTCTGCCAGGAGGGAGCAGACCTCTCCTTCCCTTTCAAGGATGCTCCTGGGCGCTGCACACATCACCTTTGCTCACACCTCGCTGGCCAGAATCTAATCTAGTCGCATGGCCGCACCTAGGGCAAGGGAACCTGGCAAAGGTGGTCTGTACTTAAGACCTATGACCAGTTAAAATGTCTGTTACACCAAGCTGGGGTTGTGTTCGGTGGTAGAGTGCTTGCCTAGCATGTGTGAGGCACTGGCTTCGATTCTCAGCACCACATATAAATAAATGAACAAAATAAAGGCCCACCAATGTCTAAAAAAAATTTTTTTTTAAATCTCTGTTATACTAGAAATGAAAAATGGATGTTGAGGGGACGATCAGCAGTCAACATGTCAGACAGTCCTTGTAGAAAGGTCTGTAACAGAAAGAATGAGAAGTAACTTGAACTGGTTAAATAATTACAGTAATTCATGTGATGGAATCCCATGTAGGTATTTTGAAAAGTTAAGTGGCTCTCTATGTACTGCTGTGAAAATTTGTCCAAGATGCAGTGATGACCATGGTATAGAGTAACAATGTACATAGGACAATCCTGAAAATGTCATTCATTCAATCAGCAGTGCTCTGAGCCCACTTTGTGCCAGTACTATTCTATAAGTGGAACACAGGTGAACACAACAGACCAGACCACTGTATTCAACACCTGCATCTAATGACAATTCCCCCAAAGAACACTTGAGAAACTGTTCGTTTTGTTTGTGATTCTTTTTGTGCGTGAGAGGTATTTTTTGTTTTCGTGTTTTGAAGACAGGGTCTTCCTATTGCCCAGGCTGCCTTAAAACTCCTGATCTCAAGTGATCCTCCTCCTTCAGCCTCCTGAGCAAATGGGACTACAGATGGGACTACACTTGAGACAGGATTACCAATAGCCTTCAGTGTCAGAGAGTGAGGCAGGGAGATGAGCAGGTCACAAAGGGGCTTTCCTTTTTATCATCTCAATGTTTTATACTTTTTACTGTGAGCATGTATTATTTTTGTACCGATTTTTTTTTTTTTTAATTTAGTAAACCAATGCCCTGTAGACCAGTTACCTAAGGCTCACAGCCCGTGTCTAGGGTTGCATTTGCTCTTCGGTTTCTTGCTGGTATTTATTTGCCTTTGACTTCACTCACCTCACCGCTCTTTGTAGTTAGTTTCCTGGCTGACAGCTCAAGTTGCTGATATCCAGCCTGCCTGTTCCAAAGGGCAGCAGAAGGAATCAGGCGAAACTGGGAATATCATCCCACTACACAAACTGCACAGTGCATTAGGAACCCAGAAGCTGCATCCTATTGCCGCTCCTAGCACAATGGCACCGAAGGCCAATGGGAGGCCCTGTGATCAGATGTTGAACAAAGAACAGACCTGTGGGGGTAAATCATAGGGTCTGGGATTACAAGAAGCAAAATTTGTAATTTCCATCAGTTAAAAAAAAAAAAAAAAGTGGTGACCTTTGAAAAACAATTGCAGCCAACTTTATTAAAAATAGAATCTGAGCTGGGACAAGTTCCAACAAGACGACTATAATGTTAGCTTTTCAAAGCACCTCTGAAAGCGATTCTGTGTGCCAAGGGTGCTACGAACACACAAAAGAAACAACAACAAAGACCCAGGAAGGATGAATCACAATGCACCCGGTGGAGACTCAAAGCAATTTCTTCGTAAAACAATTTTTAAAAGCAACTTATAAGGAAAACAAGTTAGAATTTTTTTTCCTTGGGGGGCAAAATGAAGAAAGAGTCTTGCCCAGGAGAAGAAAATAATAGGAACAATGGCATGTCAAGGTCCGTAAAAACCAGAGAGATCACAGCCACAGCACAAGGGGGCCTACAATACAACAAAGAAGTACTAAGATCCCTGGAGATCAGCTGGTTCACCTCGCAGGTAATAACACCTAGGCCCAGACAGGTAACCTTTCCTGCCCAAGATCTCCCCAAGGCACCTCCTGCATCTGCTTCTCAAGGCATTAAATCTCTTGGTCACATTTACATCAAGTAGAGAGGAGACCCAAGAAAGGCCAAAGACAACATGTAAAGATGACACCTATGTACAGAGAACAAGTCATTAGTTACCCAGCAGGAATCAAACAAATGACATGAATGGTGAAGGCTGATGCAAAAACCACGTTTTTAGGTCTATGTTCAAAAAACTCCTCATTAACTACATTTTCAAAGTACAATAATACATAAAGGACTAGTGCAAAAGGACATGTGTTCCTGGACTTGTCATGGCAAAAGTCTCTCTACAGCCTCATGGAGAACGTGAAGCACAAAGGAAGCGATGTAGCTCAAGGTATGGGGATGAGCAAGGAGCCACCTGCCAGGGCTCAAGGATGGGAAGGAGGAAAGAGCCCTGGAGCCTCAGATGTAATTAATAACAACAGAGGACTCGTAAACAGCAGGTGCTGTGTCCCATCACTTTTCTAAGTAATTTCTGCATATTTTACTCATTTTAATCCTCACACCAATCCTCTGAGGTACATGCCATTATTGTCCCTATTTTAAAGGTAAGAACACAGAGGACAGGGAAAATAGGCAACCTTATTCTGGCTTATGCAGCTAATAAATAGTGGAACCACGCTGGAACTCATACAGTCTGGCTGCAGAGTGTGCCCCCGACCACCACACAACACTGCCTGTCAAGATGTCAAGTGTCTCCTTGGGACTACAAAACTATGAGAACTAAAGCTGGCAGTAGGTGAGACATTGTATCAGGAGGAGTTGG